TATATATTTTTATATACAAACATTATGATTTCACTGTCCATCATATTATCATATATTCTCTTTTCACAAAGACCGCATTTTTGTAAAGACTGTGACGGATTCTTTATCAACCAATCACAGTCCATGATTTGCTGCGTCATCCATAGCAACGGGGTCAACCACACCTCCTCACTAACATAAAAGTTTTTGTACTTTCCTTGCTCAGAGTTGCTCTGAGAAGTTTCCTAAATCACTTTTAGTCTAGGACTCCCAGCTAGGACTTTTTGGGCTAAGATAGGAGCTCTCTGAGAGAATTCTAAGATGTTTTGTGAATACGGGCCCTGGAGACTACACCACAAAGCAAGAACAGTGGTTTATCCAGCCAACTTTGGGCTTAACTTGGGTTTTCTGGGACCACAAAGCTAGCTCACTTTTAATCAGCCATATCAACATGGTAACCTATGCTGCATGAATAGCTTGCACTGGAGCAGGTTAACTTCAGAGGATCAGAGCAAAACAGGTCAATGACCTAACCACTGACCAATCAGATCACTGGAAAAACTGAGTGATCATTTCTACAGAATCCCGGCAAGGACAAAAGAGTTTACATTACTGTGATAAATAATAAAGAAAAATAAATAACAGACTAACCAAATGGCTTTGCTGTTTCAGGCTTTTCATGGGTGGCTCTGATTTAAAGCAGAATTTCTAACAAACTGAGGGAGTGATGATCAATGCTGTATTTTAAATGCTCAACAATTATTTGATTCATGATGGTCTGTGCCAATGCTTCTACATACTTCTTTCACTGCAGCTCAGACTGACACAAGGTGATAGTAACAACTCTTTAATTAGAAAAATAACCCATGCACTTAAATATTTCCTGTAATTATAAACAGTGAGATTAACTTTAGGAGTAACTCCTCTCCACTGTCCTCTCCCCTCCTCTCTGGCAGCAGAAACTGTGGGACAGTAATTTTCTTTGTCACTGTCATCAGACAGAAGACATTACTCATTCGATAAGGCCCTATAATAATACTGTGCTAAATCACAATATATTCTTATCTTTAAATATTCGATAATTATTTCTAGTGTTTATAGCTTCTTCTTCTTCTTATGTTCTATGCGTGTGGTCAAAACCTACTGTTGACACTGGCTACATAAGGTGGCACGACACTTGTCTGTTAATACTCTTGCTGGAATTGCAACTATATTTTATGAGCAACAGGACAGAGAATGGGACTACCTGCTGACATCTGGAAGCCACTGGACAGTAAGGCTGGGCCACTCTAGTGCATGAGTCATCACCAGGTCATACAGGAAAGGTGTATTTTTCTTCCAAATCTTGTACTCTTCATTGATGACCCTTTCTTCCACTGCATCGTCATACACTTAAACAGAATAACATAGGTTAGGTTACACGTATAACCACAAATAATAGTAAGTACTGTGTACTTTTCCTCCATGACATATTTTTCAGAAGCTGATCAACAGTTTAATTCGAGCTTGTTTCAACGTTACATAATGATAATACCACCCTATGACAGAAGGCTGATAGAGTCGTAGCTCGTAGGAATACAGTATTCTTCTTCTCTCATTGATTCTGAGGTAGTTTATTGCTACCTACCACCCACTGACGTTACAGCATGTTTTGGTGACAGGAGTTACGGCAACGCAATAAGAAAAAACAAATTTAAGTTTTAAAAAAAGTGTAGTTTTGTGGATTGTATATACGATATGCTGAAGTTACAGATCAGAGGTTTGACATGACGTACTCTTAAAAACGTGCAACTAGCACACAGGCTAAAGGCAGTAGACCTCCTGATATTACTTTAATAAGATAGCATACCATGTCAGCACCCATGCCAGAGTTAGAACAGCCGTGGTGCGCACAAAAAGCGGCACACGAGGAAAACGCGCCACCATTGGTTAGGTGACCCTAATAAACCTACCCTCTTTATCAGCCATGTTCCAGACTCTGCGCTGTGTCACGATGCTTGCGAGCAAAGTAACTAGATAGACGCTGTTCTTGTCAAGACAGCTGTTAGCCTGCCTAGTATTATTTTGGTTGTTTCTCTGCTTAACTAGGGTTCTTCCTTTTCAACCCCGAATTACTCGGTATGTATTGCACATGCGCCAGTGCGAACCGGTGCGAACATACCAACGAGCGCCAATCCTGCGCGTAGACTGCGCAGCCCTGCGCACTACTTGTAAAACCGCACAAGAAAATGGACAATTTACACGCATATTTTTGTGGTTATTTATACAAACATTTTCTATATGTCTGTGCAGATTCTCAGTCATCCAGGTCATAGTAAGCTGAAAAAACTATGGCTGTGCTATGGGCTCCCCGGTGTCTCCTATAGTTGCCAACCTGTACATGAAAGAAATTTAGGAGAAAGCCCTGTCTTCCTTCACTGGTATCGCTCCCAGCTACTGGTTCCGCTACGTGGATGACACATGGGTTAAAATCAGGCTTTCACCAAGCATATCAACTCTGTGGATGACAACATCAAGTTCACTCGTGAGGATGCCACAGATGACTGTCTGGCCTTTTTGGATTGTGCAGTCCACTTAGGAGGGGACAGAAGCCTGAAAGTAGAAGTATATCAGAAACCTACACACACAGACCAGTACCTGCTTTTTGACTCATACCATCCACTTCAACACAAACTGGGAGTCATCAGAACTTTAAATCACAGGGCAGAGGAAGTGCCCACAACTGCAGAAGGGGCCAAGAAGGAGAAATTGCACACCCAGAACTCCCTTAGGGCTTGTGGATACCCTAAGTGGTCCTTCACCAAAGCAAGGAAGAGGCCCAACACCAACAGGGAGAAACCAGAAACAAGAGGGGATAACACTGTCATCCCTTATGTGGCTGGTTTATCAGAGAAGTTAAAAAGGATATTTCACAACCACAATATCCCAGTTAACTTTAAACCAAGGAACACCCTGCGGCAGAGACTGGTCCACCCGAAAGACAAAACACCCAGACATAAACAGAGTGATGTGGTGTATGCAATTAAGTGTAGTCAGGAGT